GATTCTAACTGGAATGTTTTGATGATTTGACCTACCTGTCCTTATCAGTGATTAATTTGAGAGTGTTATATGCCGTCGATTTAAAAAACGTCTAAAGGAATGCTTAATATTGAAAAATGTTACTATGATGTAAGAAAAATTTTAGATGGTAAATAGGAATAATGAATTAATTAACCGACATGAATCAATTTACATACATATTTGTTACATAATTTTAACAATTTGTTTTGCGAATTCTATTTTTATTTTTTATCTTTATTTTTTATTTGACATTGTAATTCCTCCATTGACATCTCAGTTCTAAAATGTTCTACATCCAATTTCATTGTTGCCTTCTTTCAGTAAAATTTTTCAGAAGATTATACTGAATCAGCTACAAACTCACTTTAGTGCAAGAAAAATTCTACACAGGAAATAGTTTGGTGTTGAACTTTTAGAAAATATATTTAGTGCCTGGGAGGATAAACAGGATGCCCTGGGTGTTTTTTTTTTTATTTATCTAAGGCATTCGACTGCGTTGTTCATGAAACATTTATCAGGAAATTGCATTACTATGGAATTAGGAACACTGCTTTGGATCTTCTTACCTCTTATTTGGGTAATAGGATCCAGAGAGGGGAAGTTAATGGACAGAGATCCCTGGGGTCTCTGGTCACTATGGGGGTTCCGCAGGGCTCAATTCTCGGGCCATTTTTATTTCTTGTTTACATAAATGACCTACCTAATGTGATAAAAGATAATCAGGAGATAGTACTATTTGCGGATGACACTTCACTTTTATTTTTTTTTATTTTTTTATTTAAAAGGAGTTGGATCTTGTGGACACCACCAAGTTTTTGGGTATAACACTAGACTCTAAATTGCAATGGGGCCCACACATTGACGAATTGTCGAATAAACTCAGCTCTGCAGCATACGCGGTTTATAAAATTGGTCAATTAACCGATCTAGAAACAGCTAGACTGGTGTATTTTAGCTATTTTCATAGTGTAATGTCATACAGTATTTTACTGTGGGGAAATGCTGCTGACATTCAAAGTATCTTTGTGTTGCAAAAGAGAGCTATTCGTGCAATTTATAATCTCAGTTATAGGCAGTCACTGAGGGATAACTTTAAAGAAATTGGTATCATGACAGTCGCATCTCAATACATATATGTAAATTTAGTGTGTGTAAAGAAATAATATAATGTTAATTCATATTTTAGTATCTTTCTGGTGGTTTTGAGTGTTTCCACTGCCTACCCAAATGTCCTACTGGCGGTAGTGTCATGGTTCGGGTCGTTGATCTTGACCAATATCGGTTAGGCTACACAATGGCTGGAGCCTGTATGCCTGTACGGACAGGCTGACTCAAAACTATGGTTCTTTCCTCAAAGGCCTACCCAGACCCTATACTGTACTCGCACAGTTTTATTTAACTTTGTTTACGGACTTAAAAAAAACACCTCTGTGGTTTGTTTCGGCGTTTCTTCCCAGAGAGAGTCTTAGGAAATGCCGGCTCCTTCTAACTATAAAGTCCGATTTGTAAAAATTTCTGAAAAGATTTTCGCACAGAAATAAATATCATTTATCATTTACCATCAGACCTCCACAACCCAAGTACTAGGCAATATTTAAAATCTGTAGAAAGACTGTTGTCTTACTTTTTAGGGCTCCGATTACCCGCAACGAGCTCTCCGTTCACGGAGGGGTCTCACAGTGTTAAGAATGGTCACCCATCCATAGACTGACCTAGCTAGGATTGTTAAACTTTGCAATGTGTTAACTTACTCGGTTACCACTTAGTAGATCAGGCGTTCTTATCGTAGTCTGTGATCTCTTACCGACAACCAGGCTAGTAACAATAAGTCATGCTACAACAACCACAAAATAATAAGTAAAAATATACATTCTGTAATAATATCTAAATAACAGACATTAGACATATATTAATACATATATTACTATACGCATAAAGAATACTAGCTGGCACCTGCGACTTCGTTCGCTTGTGGAATTTGATAAGCGCGGCCTTAGTGCCGCGCGGGCAAAATTTTATAGGGGTTTTCTGCGAGAAAAAAAATAGCCTAAGTTACTCCTTATATAGACAGCAACCTGGTACTAAAATATTATCAAACTCAATCCAGCCGTTTGAAGATTACCCGGAACAAACAGACAGACAGACAGACCAACACAAAGACAGACAAAAAATATTAAAAACGGTTTTTAGGCATGGGTGTGGTGCAAATAAAAATAACCTAATTATTTTATAACGCTACACTAAACCTACGTAAATAAAGAACAAATAGTACAATCAAGCCAATTCACAGTAATTTTCCAAACAAACAAACAAACACAAGACATAAATGCAGGATGCATGCTTTACCTACCGCCTCGGGTTTTAAGCAGTAAATATTATATTGTTGACAATTATTTACGATATTTACGCATTATCTGTTTATAAATGATTATAAAACTACATCCACAACGGTAGACAATGTTTATGTCTGGTCGATTGCGATGTAAATAACGTAATTGTCCGCTATTCTTAGACTTCATACATGCCGAGTTGACGTATGTACATTAAATCAGGTTTCATCTCGTTAGTTTATTGTTTATAATTACATACATATATCATAACTTGTATATAAATTCATTCATCATCAACAGCCTTTAATAGAACTCTGTTTACAAAGGAGGTTTTGGCCTGCTATACCACGCTGGCCAAACGGGTTAGTAAAAGATTTGTTTCGAGTTTTCCTTCTCCTTGCAGTGCTTTTGTCCTGCGTAGTTTGCTCCCTTAGTCAGCTCTTACGACGACGACCCACGGGACGAATAAGGGCGGTGACACTCCGTATTCTTAATCCTCCTTATTTTTTTTTTCACTAGTAAATTTCTAAAACTGTGGGAGAGTTCACTTACTTCAGAATGTATGGGCCGGATCGACCATAGCGATGCGATCTCACAAAGAAACCGGTGTTAAGCAATGCTTTGTCGTATTTCATGGAGGAAGTTATCGGAGGGGTAATCCCACACCCCCCTTACACTGACGAGCGCACTTAAAGGCCGGCAACGCACTAGTGTCTCTTGAGATTAAGATATACACGGACGGAAAGAGGTACTATTTGGTGATACTGCTAAGTCTGCTCATTATCTTTAAACGACTCGTTTAAATCCAGATGAATTTGTTCCATATATTCTCCTAATTCCGTTACACAGATGCAAGTTGTACAACCACAAACAACTTCTTAACACAAAGAATAGATTTATCTTTGTTGTTTCATGTGGCAAAGCGATCGAATGTAGCGTAGAATTTGTCACATCAATATACAATGCATTTTAAAGCCAAGTAAAATCTAAGTAGACAATTTTTTAAGAGCAGCGCAAAGCGGAGTTAGATCGGAAACGCGATGCCCTAAAGCCTAGACAACCAAAGGCCATATTCTACAACTAAGTACATCAATGGTGTCCTACGGCATATGTTCGCGTACATTTATACATGAAGTCGGCTACTGGAGTCACCTAAGGGCGCATGACAGGGCTAATCATTCTAGCCCGCCAATGAACAGGCAGCAGTCACCGTAGCCGAAATCGGCAAGGGAGTATAATAATATATATATAATATGTATATAAAAGGAAATAGGATATTTTTTACATTTTTAAATGAGGGATAAGGCGTATATAATTTTAAAAACGTTTTTTTCGGTCGAAACTGAACGTCATTAAACAATTAAAGAGGATGTCGTAGTAAAGTATTTAGGCATGTTTTATTAAATGTACCTGGATAAGATTTAATTTTTTTTATTATTACATGGTCAATGAATTTGTTTTTATTCATATTATTTATTTGTCTTGCTATAGAATTAGAGATATATTTTCTAATTCATATTTGACAGTGACAGATTTATCATAAACTAGCAGATGCCCGCGAATTCGTTCGCGTGGAATTTGAAAAGCGATGCCTTAGTCAGTTTGATACCCGAACCAGGCAAAATTTTATAGGGTTTTTCTGAGAGAAAAAATTGCCTAAGTTACTTTTTATATAGACAATACCGGGTGGTAAGATATTTTCAAAATCGGGTCCGTTTTGAAGATTACCCGGAACCAACAGACAGACAGAAAGACAGACAGACAAACAGGCAGACAAAAAATATTTAAACTGGTTTTCAGGCATAGGTATCGTGCAAATAGCCGTGTAAGCATAAAAAAAGCCTATTATTTTGACATTACAAACCGACACTTCAATTTTATTTATTTGTATAAATGAACCATACTAAATTTTGAAGGTTGTTGAGAATGTAATCCTGACCAGCATCCTGTTAAGCATCTCATGCCCTTCAACAAATCCACCGAAACATGGACCAGGTAAAGATTAATGCTGGCAAGTTTTTATACTTAGTATTCGATAATATTCGTAACAGCATTGATAGTTAAGGAGGACATCCTTTTCGTTAGATGGCGCTATCTTATTAGAAAATTTTGGCATGACATTTGGCATGACATGACATTTTTGAGGGTGACTGTACTTACTTCCTAAAGTACTTATAGGTAGGTTGGTTGGTATAGGTATTTAGGGCAGTACTAAGTAAATACCTACAAGTGCTCGTTAGGTACAGAAAATAGGGCTGCCAACTCACTGCATTTTTATGTTATGCTTTCAATTTTGCTAATAAAATTGTTGAAATAAAATCTTATATTCATATGTAGTTTATATGACAGTAGGTATTTTAAATTAACACCTAGTAATTCTTTAAGTTCAACCTCTAGGACTAGAGGTTATGACGAGTCAACTAGATTAGGGTTAGTTACTCGTACACTGTAAATGAGAGAATTTTATTGGGTTGATATTAAAGACCCCAATGTCGTATTTAAGACAATAATATAAAATAAAATTCATTTAGAATAGGTAACTAAGAAGTAACTAAAAATATCAGAACATATTTACATTTATTACCAAATAATTAAATAAGAAAAATGTTACAAAAGTATTGCCAGCATTTTTAAGTAAGTACATTTCAACTAAAACCGTAGAGTAAAATCCGTGTAGGCGATTTTCGTGGTATACTCCCAATTCGTGATGTCACACTTCTCGATTTTGCAGCCTGGTGACCCCGTGGTGCTGAGCCAGTCGATCCTGAAATAATTGTACATGAACAGTCTTAAAATACTACTTACGTACTTCCTTGCGCTTACGTCAAAATGAGTTGTAAAAAATTGTAATCTTCATTTCGTAATTTTCCACACATAAGGGTTATTTTTCTTCAAATTTGTATGAAATGAAAAGAAAAGTATACTGTTTTAAAAAGAACGGATTATTCAAATCGGTCAATAAATGACAGAGTCCTGATATAGCAAATATAAAGCAAAATGAAACCTATTTTAACTTCCCTGTTTCTTAACCTACTTGCCACTTAGACACGTGGACCTCCGAGGACTCCAACTGATTAAAGTATTTTCTTAAATTGTTTATTTTTTGGTATAAGGAACAGGAATGAGTGAAGACCTAAAATTAGCTCTCAAATGGCTAATTTGGTGCTTGTGTGATTTCTTTTTGGTGTCTTCCATGTAAAAAAAAACAGATATCAAAGTTCAAGCCTATCACACTTTTGTCTAATTTTCTCAGTTAATGTCGCCTAGGTGTGGATGTGGATTAAGAATACGGAGTGTCACTGCCCCTATTCTCTTTTTTTTCTTAAAAAGACTAGGAATTAGGAAGAAATATATACCTGTGTCGCGGGGGACTTTACAAATATACATAAAACGGACACAAAGAACAGACACATATTGTTATTCTGAGTCACCCAGACTCAGAATAACAATTTGTGGATCACACAAAGTGGTGTCCCATGTGGGGATCGAACCAACAACACTCAGCGCAGTAGGAAGTGGCGTGGCGACCGCTTAAACCACTACGACATCCGTGCAGTCATATTCATCCCGTGGGTGCCGTAAGAGCCGGCTAAGAGAGCAAAGTATGAAGGACAACAGCACTGCAAAGAGAAGGAAAACTTGACACAAACCCAAAATCAATCCGTCTGGGGTACCACGCTGGGGTATAGTAGACCAAAACCTCCTTTCTAATGAGACGCCTATGTTCAACAGTGGACCATTAAAGGTTGTTGATGATGATGATTTACTTGTTTTTGGTGTTATAATTATACGTGCATTACGATCAATATAAAAATGAAATGCTGACAAATATGAAAAAAGAGATATTCATAAATAAACCAGCATTTCAACTCACCGCCCAACTGCCTTTATCACATGTTTATTTTAGCACTGACCTACATGTGTAACTAATTATTTATTTACATAAGAGACTGACATTACAAGCTTATCTCTGATCCGAAATATTATAATAAGCATTAGGATATTATCCAATAAGATAAAACAAATGAAAGGGAACGCCCAAATACTCCGAAATATTTTATTCCGAATTTCGATGTTCCGATGTTCAAAAGTCCGAATTTCATAATACCGAAGAATTATACTCGTAATGTATATTATTAAAATTTACGAAATATATTTTACAGAAAGTCGTAACTGCGATTTGCTTGTTTGCCGATTTTTATAGGTTCGAAGAATCAAGTTTAAATACTTCGAATGAACTGCTAAAATTAGGACTCTGATTCAGTTACTATAATGTTCAGTTAGGCACATTTATTCAAAATCTATAAGTAACATATAATGAAATTTAAAAACGTCTACCTTATTAATATTGGTGTTTTTTTTTTGTGTTTTCATATACCTACATCGGGTACCATCTACTGCTATTGAATTCTTTGGGCTAGGTTAGGTTAGAACAGTGGCCATTAACGCCAGATTCCCTCTATTGTACAATCAAAAATCAAATCAAAGTTTATTTGCTATGAATGTAGAAACATCAAATTACAGATGAAATAGCTTTTGGATTTAGTGGAATTGTTGGTGAATCATTTGGGTTGGGTTATGTTAGAACTGTGACCAGCGAAAGAAAATATTAGTATTTGAAAGATAAATAGAAGGAATTTGAATTTATGATATTTCGAATTATCATTAAGTCGGTCTTTTTGTTATTCGATCTATTGAAGCTCGGTGTTTTGAGCATAGTAATTTTAAACGTTAGGAATATTGAAATTTTTTGAATTATAAAATTCGATCAAAATCGGAGTTGTTATATTAGGAATTGTGAATCATTCGGAATTATGAAAATCGGTATTTTGAAATTCGTATTTGTGACTGACGGAAAAACTTTATTAATCTACCCGAAATGAACACTAGTTTAAAACTGATATGCGTGAATAATGATTTCAGCTACTATCTACCTTCCAGAAAGATTATTAAACAAAAGTGATAATGGTCTGAAATATTGCAAACTAATCGAAAATAAACTTGGTAAATTTTCCCGAAGTAAAAATGACAATGATAGCTTGAATCGATGATATTCTAGTTTTATGTATTGGTACCTTTTTCAATCCTTGATGAAAATAGCGAAGTCTCACGCAAGAGCTAGAAAGTAATACATACATGTGATCTAACTGTGCCTTAGTCCCCTGGATCTTGCCAACGATGGTGCCTTTCTTAGAATTCTTTACCCAACCTCCAATGCCGAGCTGTTCAGCCAACTCCTTGCAGTACTTCGTAAAATAGCAACCTGGAATATAGTGAGGTCATTTTTAAACACTGAGGATTAACTGTTGTAAATATATTTTAGGATGATCCTTCTGACGTGGATTTCAAGGCCGGTGCTTATGACTTTTGACGGTAGGCGTCCACACTCCACCAGGTGTCCCATCTGATTGTTTGCCTCCCTACCATAAAAAAAGAATTACTAAATTTTCAGATTAAACTGGAAACAGTTATGAAGAAAAGAATTGAAGTATGAAGTTGTGGTCGGTGGCAGATCCTGCTCTGTGTCTTGACTTTACTTGACTGCGGTTAAAAAGTTCAAGGCACCTACTTTTACCATGTATTCATTTGTACAGTAATAACTAGCTGACCCGGCAAAGGTTGTATTGCAAAACAAAAAAAAATTAGGGATGGGTCACTCTTACCATTTAGGGGTATGAAAAATAGATGTTGGCCGATTCTCAGACCTACCCGATGTGCACACAAAATTTCATGAGAATCGGTCAAGCCGTTTCGGAGGAGTACGGGAACGAACATTGTGACACGAGAATTTTATATATAAGATATTATGAGACACCGAGCTGTCTGTCTACTCGTTTCTGTCGCCATGGCTATTTTGTCGGTTCTTTTTTGCTGTTTTTTATGTCTTTTATAACAATGATACATCACACACATGGCCGTCTGATTATACTCGTACATTCAACACAAGTTTCTCCCACCGTTTCTTTGTCTACCAAAGATGCAATTATACAACAAGTTAAATAGTAATATATATTAATATATATTAGATATTAGTTCAATCTCAAGTCTGAACTGTTAGTCTGTTGTAAAAGATAGGCTAAAACGATTGGATTACACATGTACAGAGATGTTGCTCCAATAATAGTAAGTTCCAATAACAAGACACACACTCATACACGATCATGTTTGTATACGCACCCACCCACTTACTAACACACACACTTACTCACTCACTCTCTCTCTCACATACACACACTCACACACACACACATACGCACCCACGCACGCACGCATGCATGTACGCACACATGCACTCATGCATTCACTCAATCCGCGTAAATTTTCCCCGTTTTTGCAATCCTTTTTATTGATGCTCGGCTCCTATTAGTGGAAGCATGATGTTATATAACATACAGCCTTCCTCGATTAAAGGGCTATCCAATGCTTTTATAAAAGATTTTTTTAATTCTAACCAATAGTTCCTGAGGTTAATCTAAGGAACTATTGGTTAGAATTAAAAAATCAACATCATTACCATCATCAACAGCCTTTGCTTGCCCATGCTGGACTTAGGCCTCTGCTTAGAAAGGGGTTTTGGCCTAATATAGACGGGTTGGTGTAGAGTTTGTCTCTGTTCCTGTTTATCAGTATCTGGTCACCATATCAAGGATCAGACAGGCTTACCTATATCAGATGTGTCAAGTTATTTTTGTTAAGCGCGGGGTATAAAATAAATAAAAGTTGTCGGTTAATTACTTTTATTGCACTGTAATTACAAACACTCACTATTACAATCAAGTAATCACCATATAACTCGTTAGTCATACTAGAAATTCGCTTCGATGTTAATTCGCTGTGTCATAAAACGATACTGTCCCGTACGGCCAACACGCTCCGCTTTTATAGTGCTGTCGAAATTACTAGACTAATCCCGAAAATGCGATGTAATGTTCCAGCAGAACCACGTACCTAAGGCATCTACAATATTCTATTATCTTCCGATATTCGACACTAGATGGCACTCCAAGCAAGTATCGGAATTAAGAACCACAATCTTAATGCGTAGCGATGTGCCCCACTTGATACTTGATGATGCTGTTCTCCAGACACAACACAGAACCACTCAATCCAATCGCGCAACTTTTTTTTTTTTTTATAACTACAATCCCCTCGGATACCACTTACCGGTGGCAATGTCGGATTCGAACCAACTAAAACCGCACGCCGTCTCAGGTACCAGTAGTCGGGGAACCAGATGTACCCTAGAAAGGAAATCCCTGGTGCCCCGACGTACCTCGGGCCAGCTACGGCGGGTAGACGACCCCCCTGTGTGGGAACCCCCATGTTCCCTCTGTGCTCCCGGATGGGCGCGCGCGCCTCGCAGCGCGCTCGCCGCCACACCGGCCTGCTTCTGCTAGGGTGACAGATAGCCTCACCTGTCACCCCCAAGCCGGCGCTTATGGAGAACGTTGAGAGGTCGTTCTGCGACCTCTGGCGCCTGAGTCGTCTGCGGTACCTAGCCCGATCCCGGGCCTGGCGGGCCGAAAGGGTTTTAAACTTCTCCCGGTCCCGCTCCGCCATCTCTCTCTCATAACTTGCTCGCAGAAGGAGACCCCAGAGTTCCACGCACTCTCGCTCCGCACGATAGCCGCAATCAGGTTATCGAGCTAGAGAACTCCCACTCCGATGGCCCCCACGAGGTCTCGCATCTACTCCACCCACGCCGGGCATTCGCCGTGTCCACGGCCCGACCATCGCAGACATTGTTGCCCCCTAATAAAAAACTTTTAAGTAGGTACTTTTATCCAGCGAAAAAAAAGCGTTCTTGCAAGGTTTGTTTTATGTCAGATTCTGGTATTCTCAACGACTGTGATATACCTAGATACTTGTAAGTTTCCGTGGCAGACAGAGATCTGAGTTTTGTTGAATCTGAAGGCTCTATTCCTTCAAATTCTACTATCACGACTATTTTACATACACCACTGCACACTCGTCTACACTAAATTCCATCTTGATAGAATTACTAAAGTTTTCCGTCACCTTTAGCCGTCAATTGTAATTTAGTAGGGGTTAGAAGTTTCAAATCATCCATATAAAGAGGCGAGATATAACTTGATCATCTCTCTGCAACCTATAGCCTAATCCTGAACACTCCAATAAAGTGCTGAGACGGTTCAAAGCCAGACAAAACCACAAGAAACAGGGACTAGAGTGATTCTAAAGCCATTGTTTCACGGTCGGTCGGCACTAGAATGCCTATATCGTCGTCATAATACAAAAATAGTGCTTTGTTTTTTTTCGAAAAAATGTAACGGATGACGTATCTCGTATTTCGTATTTTTGTGCAGAAGGCGTGACAATTGTCCGTCATCTAGGCGTTTATGAACTGCGATTAGACGTCCAAACAGCTCATTGACATCGACCTATATGCGATGCCGCTAATTATAGCGAGTTAATGATTAGCTCGAGATAGATCAGCTGTCGATGAACTAAAAAAAATATGTGTAGTATCTGTTACGAGTGTGAAGCGGGACTAAATAATATTTAAAAAAAAACGGACATTTATATTTTTAGTTACCCGGGTCGAGGTCGGGTCGTGTTCGAGAGGACTCAATAGACCTTACCTCAAAAATGTAATAAAGTGATCCTGTTTTTAACCGAAGGGTGCTCGTGGCTAAGTGGTAACCGAGTAGGTTAGTACCTTTCAAAGTTAAGCAATCTTAGCCACGTTAGCCTATGGATGGGTTACCATTCTTAACACATTGAAACTCCTCCGTGCCTCAGAGAGCATGTTAAGCCGTCGGTCCGGGTTGCCATACAAATGTCTGTGGCAATCGTTAGGGGTACTTGAAGCCCCTCGATAGCCTGATTGCGGCTATCGTGCGGAGCGAGAGTGCGTGGAACTCTGCCGTCTCCTTCTGCGAGCAAGTTATGTTATGCGAAGGAGACAGCGGAGCGGGACCGGGAGAGGTTTAGAACTCTCCCGGCCGGGCTAGGTACCGCAGGCGACTCAGGCGCCGGAGGTCGCAGAACGTCCTCCGTCCTCCATAAGCGCAGGCCTGGGGGTGACAGGTTAGGCCATCTGTCACCCTATCAGAAGCAGGCCGGGGTGGCGGCGAGCGCGTTGCGAAGGGCGCTCGCTTCCAGGGAGCAGAGGGAACATGGGGTTCCCACACGGGGGGGGTCGTCTACTCGTCTGTAGATGGCCCGAGGTATGTCGGGGCACCAGGGACTTCCTTTCTAGGGTATACCTAGTTCCCCGGCTATTAGTACCCGAGACGGCGTGTGGTTTTAGTCGGTTCGAGTCCGACATGCCACCGATAGGTGGTATCCCAGGGGATTTGAAGCCCAAAAAGTCCGACAACAGTCTATCAACAGAACTTGGATATCGCTTGGGTTGTGAAGGTCTGATGGCAGTCGCTGCACGCGAAAAATCGAAGTTCAGCCGCGCCTCAGAAGACTGAAAGCCAATCCCAACCAGATTTGTGAAAAAGGCTCGGAGGGCGATATTGATAATGTTTTTGAAAGAAAGGAGTTCTCAAGTCGCTTGTATTTGTTATGTTTGTTACCTCTGACTGATAAGCCAAAATTTAGTAAATGTCAGTTTCTATGACAAAGACATATACAGATGTGCAACACAGGTGGATGTTTTAAATATGAATATAACATTTCGCGGCCACATTTTAAATAAAAGAAAATAACATTCTAACACTGTACCTACCGTCAGAATTAACGAACAAAGGAAACTGTATAGAGAGTCTCAAAACATGGTTTCTTTTTAAGGTACTTAAGGAAATAAATGAAAGAGTTTTGAAAAAAAGAAAATATCGCATCATAATCTGTCCATTCGTTTAGGAGCTACGATGCCACAAACAGGCACACATACACCTCAAACTTATAACACCCTACTATTTATGTCAGAGGGGAAGGTGGTTACAAATTTATTTTGCATTTGACTTTTATTAAGAATAATAACTTTTCTTTTTTATTAGAAAGGGAATACTTTCCCCTTGGTCCGATTAAAATTGAAGAAAAAATATCACCTCTATATGTGGCAATTAGGAAATGAAGAATAGAGTACAGATCAGGATAAAAGTGCTTTGAAAAAAAAAAGAAATTTAAAGTTTTCAATAATAATAATAATAATATTTTCACTCATTTCACACTCGGTCGTCTGATCCCAAACTAGGCAGAGCCTATACTATAGTAACCAGGCTACTGATAAACATACATATATATTTTCTAAATCACATCATTAACAGCCTTTAATGGTCCACTGCTGGACATAGGTCTCTCCTTAGAAAGGAGGTAAGTAAGGTTATATATGGTGGTATGGAAATGCCAGTCCTTTTCCAGTATGTACTTTCTAAATACATACATATCTATACTAATATTATAAAGCTGAAGAGTTTGTTTGTTTGTTTGTTTGTTTGAACGCGCTAATCTCAGCAACTACTGGTCCTATTTGAAAAATTCTTTCAGTGTTAGATAGCCCATTTATCGAGGAAGGCTATAGGCTATATATCATCACGCTAAGACCAATAGGAGCGGAGCACCAATGAAGAATGTTTCAAAAACGGAGAAAATTTATTACTATTGAGAGACGCAGACGAAGTTGCGCGGGTCAGCTAGTACTAGATAAATTACACCCAGACACAGAACAAATGACCGTGCTCATCACACAACTATTTGTCCTGGTTGTGAATTGAACCCACGACCTCTGGCGTAGCAGTCAGGGTCACTAGTCACTAGACCAACAGGCCAGTCAGATACATTTTTGTGTCACAAATAACTAACGTTTAAGTAGTGACCATTTTCATTTTTCTGTGTTTTATTTGTAGTGTCTTAATCATTTAATAAAATGATGTATGAGAAAATATGAAAGTAGCATTTATTTTTTAATCAGAGAGAGAAGGGGGGGGGGGGTTGGAAGGAGCTGTGGCTGCAGTAACATCGGTGAAAATTAAAAAAAAGTTGCTTCACACCAATGATATTATATTAAAATAAGAAGTAGATACGTCAACAACGCACAACGCGAGGGTCCTAATTGGGACCACTGCGAGCGAGCGCATGTACTAATTAATTCGAGAAACTTCATAAAATGCCTTCCTATGTATTCCGAAAGTTCACAAATTACGACAGATAAATCAATATCATACCGCAGGTAAGTGTATAGTTTTTTGTAGTTTTATTCAAATTAATTAAGGGCCGGAAACGCGTTTATGACTCCTGAGTTGGAGACGTTCATGGTGACGGATTAAGAAAGAATACAGAGTGTCACCATCCCTATTCAGCCCAAGAGTGTCGTAAGAGCCGACTAAGGGAACAAACTCTGCAGGACAACAGCACTGCAAAGAGAAGGAAAACTTGAAACACACCCTATACCAACCCATCTGGCCAGCGTGGTATAGAAGGCCAAAACCTCCTCCTCCTTCTAAGGTGAGGCCTATGTCCAGCAGTGGACTATCAAAGCTGTTGATGATGAGCGACGATGGTCACTTTCCATCAGGTAACCCGTCTAATCGTCTGCCCCCTCTACCATAAAAAAAAAAAAAACAAAAAAAAGACTCCAATGTATGTATAGCGTTACGGAACAAATATTATGTGCTTGCTTCCTTAAAATATCATTACTGTTCTCCGTGAAGCCGTGGTAGCCGAGCCGGCCCATTTGTGCCGAAACATGTTTCCATGTTTCTTTCCCACGGTTTAAGAGAAGTTTAAGTATTACGAGTATGTTATTTTCATATCGCCGATTCAGAGGTTTGAGTAACCAACAAAAATAATACAACATAATTGTACCTACCTACTATCTACACCAGGGATTCCCAAACTATTTTAGGCAAGAGACCCCTTTCCTAAAATGAACTGATACTTCAGACCCCATAGCCTAAATACTACACTCTCATTCAATTGTTGGGTTCTTTTAAAGTACAACAATGAAACATCCTACTAAAGTTATAAGTCATTCTTATAAAAAACTGGTAAACTTTCAAGATACTGTATTAGTTGTGATACGTGTGTATCACAACTAATACAGTATCTTGAAAGTTTAAAAAAAGAACTTGTGTTAATTAATAGGGGTCTATTTTTAGACCTCTTCTACCCCCAAAATTTCCCAGGTCCGGTTTCCCAAAAAACCGGTTTCCCATGGGTCGACGTAAACGAATACTAAATTCGTTTACGTCGACCCCATGGGAAACCGGTTTCGAAACAAGGGGTCGATATCGACCTCGGGAATCCCTGATCTACACAATGGAAGATGCTGCAGACAGTAACACAGTTTCGTTACAATTACAGTCATCAACGCTAATCTCTTTGCTATGTAAATGTTGTCAATGTTAGAAAGAGTAATTGTGAAAAAAACTGCATCAATAAACTCTTATTATTATCATTTCATATTAGTGAGTTCACTTCAGTTCGGAGTTCGCTGGCATTTTCTTATTAAGTACATTGGAAATTTAAATTTAATCGATTATGAGGTGATAAAACAGGTCAACTGCAACAAACTGTATTCTGCATTCCCTAGTTTTCTTCCCTTAGAGTCGTATTTTCTCTTCAAATATGAATGGGACTCAACAGGAAGTATACGCTCCCAAACACAAAAGAATTTTCCAAATCGGTTGATAAATGATTTTTGAGGATTTCTGAGGTAAACATAAAAAGAAAAACAACTAAACTGAGAATCTCTTCTTGTTTTTGAAGTTGGTTAAAACAAAATCTATAAAAATTGCTCTTAACCGAATTTATATTCTGAGACAAACTAAGTTTATCATTTTAAAACAATAATAAAAAAACTGTACCTTGGACTTGTCCGTAGACCTCGAATTCCACAGCTGCCAACGCATTGGGATCATCAGAACCCATCACAAAATATGGAATCCAATACTTTCTCGTTTATTTGACGTCTTTTATCAATAGTTTATTTTCTTAACCTTGTATTTTGTTTCTTTTCACAAACACAGCACTGTAATAAATAACTTTTTCTATATGCGAACGGTGGCCAAACTATCGAAAGACGCCTGCCCAAGTGCCAATACTACAAGCCCGCTCCACATTGTCTATATTTACTAACAGATTCAAGTGTACTGATATTATTTATGTACATCGTAAACCACAATTATAAAGCTTTAGATCTGCGTAAATCATTTTATATAAATCCGTTATGAGGTCAATACGTAATGGTATTTTCGATATCCGCACATTCACATGTGTTTGGTGAATGTTACAATATCTATCTAAATACATATGCCATAACCATACCAAATAGAAATGTACCTAAAGATGTACATATTCCATCATCATCAACAGCCTTTACTAGTCCACTGCTGGACATAGGTCTCTCCTTAGAAAGGAGGTAAGTATTATATATTTTACATAAGTATTTAATATTCATTTTTATAACCGGATTTTACTGTCATTCAAAAAACTATGCCCCACAAATACTCACCCTAATTTAATGCCATAATTTATTGATAGTAAAATACATTTAAAAAATCTACAGATACGTGCAAACGTGAAGGTTAATTTCTAAGTTTATGACGTATAAAAAGTCTTTAATATAAATCAATACTCTACTTCAACTAGAGATGATCAGCTCCAAGTAACGACATTGGTGCACGAATCGTCCAGGTCAGCTGCACTATAGAGAATCAAAGCAGAACCACCATCACAACAGGGTAGATGCCTGTAAGGTCCAATCAGTGTCTTTTTATGAAATGTCAAAACGATAGACGCTTTACTCTTTCGAATGAAATCCTAAGGCGTGACGTCATACCTATCTATTGTCAAATCTTTACATAAAATAACTTGGTCGCTTTTTTTCTTGTACGTTTAGATCGTTCAAACTATTTATATTTAATATTAACTTGTGCCCGCGACTTCTTTCGCGGAATTTGAAAAGCTTCGTGGCTTCGATTCCCGGACTGGACAATTTTTTTAGTTTTTTTTCTGAGAGACAAAACAGCCTAAGTTAATATAGACCTGGTAGTAAGATAGAAAGATAGACAGCCAGACAAAAAAAACTTGTTTTTTGGCATAGATATAGAGCAAATAACCGTGTAAACATGAAAAAACCTATTATTTTGACATTACAAACAGACACTTCAATTTTATTTATTTGTATACATTATTTGAAGATAATAACAACATGAAATTGACCATGGAGCACACTTTAGGCTGTGCAGAAATGAAATTATATTTAATGATCTAGTCGAAGTATTTTAAAGCTAGGAATATACCCTACTATCAGGATTATTTGGCCAGAACGATTTGCTTATTTACTTGTTTCTTATATCTACTTTTTTTTACCTTCTACAAGATTTTTACCATAATCCCTTTCAGCTTCAATATGAATCTCGCGCGGTTTGTCTAAAAAATGTTTAATCGTTTAGGTTAAAGGATTTCAACTCCTTTAACCTAAACGATTAAACATTTTTTCCCTTCCCCCTTCCCGTATATTCCCTTATCCCTTCTTATAAGTACTTATGACGCCGTTATGCATGGGGTAAATCAGAAGTTATTTACTCAATTTCAACTTCTACTTTTTAATGTCACATCGTTGTGTGTAGGTAGGTATAACTTCAAAATTAACTTCAAGTTACAACTAACAAATTATGCTTCAATTACCATAGATAACATTAAAGCTATTTTTTAAAATTTAAATCTCCTATATGCCAAACTGTCTAACGTAAGTACAACGGGTTTTTAAAAAAATTAAGGGCCACGTTTCTGCACGTACCGGCTGGCTTTATCTGATTGATACCATGGCCTTACAGAAAACCTTCCTTTAGCAATTCTTTAATTTTCTTTTTACCGAATGAGTGAATTTAGCAGATGTCCAACCCCCTCTTAATTCTAGATATCTCTCAAGGAGCAGTAACACACTTAAGTTCATTTCTGGAGATACAGGTGTCCATAGACAACAGCACTTACTCTTATTTGACCTTTCTGATCACCATAAAAAAGGAAGTAAGTAGAGCTAGCGTGTAAGTAGTTATTAGAATCAAATTTTATTAAAGCGTCTTCAACTAGTTTTTTTTTCTTTACGTAATAACCCCTCATCTATTCTGTGTTTGCAGTTATGTATGTATAATAAAAATCTGCTACGATGACAAAGTACACAATTAATGGTCGCATGAAACGGACAGTCAAGAAGGAAGCCCTTCCCCCTCGACTTTGGAGTGGACTGTTCCGCTGGCAATTACAATTATATGATTGTGCACTGATTGCACTAACTGTTTCCTAATAAACAACGGTCTGTGACGTACTAACTAAATATGGGTGAAGGATTCGGTTTTGTTATGACATTGCAATACTCTTAGTACCTACTGATTCGTAATATTAATTAAGCGTTAAAAAGTAGTTCATTTTCTACCTCAAAAATCAAAGTTCCTCAATGCCAAATTTCATGAAAAACGGTTCAGTGGTTTAGCCGTGAAAACGTAACAGACGAACAAACAGAGTTACTTTCTCATTTATAATATTAGCAGGGACCTTAATTGACTTTTTTATGTTACAGTATGACTAAAGGATTCTTGCCTAGTTGTATACACAATACTCTTTGTTAAATGCATAAACCTCTTATGCTTGACTTTAAGGTTAAAACGTTATAACGCCTGAATATAAATAGCCTGCAATACTTGGTTACGTAACTTTGATTCATAAGAGTACGTCAGAGGATTAAATATGTCAGAGCAAGTCAGAGGCATAGCGTGGACTAATGTAGGCGTGGACGAAGTTGCACCAGCGAGGCTCCTTTTCTTTTGATACCAAGATATATCCAATAGATCTTTTTTACTTAAACATGCTTTTATACGACATACCTACTCATGATAGTAAAAAAATAGAAATCGCCGTAAAAGATATTTGAAAACATATAGTTTTAAAAAAGGGTGATAATTTGTAGCTTGCGCTATTTAATTTCTTAAAAAGGTAATGTTCTTCGGCTTTTTGCTTTACTGAAGTTCTGTAGTAAAAATTTGAATCCAATTCATATTAGGGATAGTCCATAAATTACTTAAGGCTTGAAAGCCATCCCCCGATGGGTTCGGAAAAAACCCACGAAATATCACCAAGGGGGGATATAATGAGATTTCACGTGTATTTATTAGTCGTTGAACGCACGATTTCATTTTTCATTCAATTTATTTCGATGTACAAATACGTGTTATTTATAATTGTGTTGTTTTTTACAACATCCTTCATTATTTTTATGCCAGTCAAAAACAACCTGCAACCTTAATGTATGTCTGGACATTTTTATCATGCTACTTAAATATCCAAAATTTCATCAGATTATACCTGTCTTAGACAATATTCTGAAATTTTCAATATACACAGTCCCAAAAAAAATACACGTGACCCCTTGACAGCTAAATCTGCTACGATGGAAAGTATTGCTAAAGCAGACAGTCGGTCCTGCTATAAATATACTGTTTCTTAAGTAGTTTTTATTCATTTTTAACTTAGAAAGACTACTTTCTGCGAAAGCTGTACTTACAGATATGGTCAACGTAATTCTAATAGCAATGTAAAAATTAGGACAGATGTCTTACAATTCATTTGTGTCTGCTTATGGAGTGTGCTTATCTCCAATGGAGTTTAGTAGATTAGGCAGCACTACTAAGGGAGCAAACTAAGCGGGAAAGCAGCACTGCAAAGAGAGGGAAAACTTGAAACAAACCCTATACCAACCCGTCTGGCCAGCGTGGTATAGTAGGCCAAAACCTCCTTTCTACGGAGAGGCCTATGTCCAGCAGTGGACTAGTATAGGCTGTTGATGATGAGATTAGGCAATAAAACTTTTAATTCTTCGTATAGCTCATAAGATTCTATGTCTTTTTTTCCCATCTTGAAGTACTCCGTTTAAGTTTTAAATTCTTTATGTCATACAAGAATCCAATATTTTTTAATCTCTTGCATTACGGCGTCAACTATTGTAATAAAAATTTGATTCTGAATCTACTTTCAGCAGAATGAACAGACTCATCTACAGCTTCATAATTAAAGATTTTGTTTTTATGTGAATCCTTTTCTCTTTAAAAGTCGTTGGAATCTCATAACTGTTATTTTCTGTAAATTCGTAGGCTTTTGCAGTCATCATCAACATCAACAGCCTATAATAGTCCACTGCTGAACATAGGCCTCTTCATAGATAGGAGGTTATGGAGGTTGGTATAGGGTTTGTTTCAAGTTTTCCTTCTCTTCGCAGTGCTGTTGTCCTGCGTAATTTGCTCCCTAAGACGCCTCTTACGACCTCCACGGGATCAATAGGGGTGGTGAAACTCCGTATTCTAAATCCGTCACCACACGGATGAGGCTTTTGCAGTTGGTACATTAATTAAGTGCTGTTTCACGAAAATGAGCAAATTGTCAATCGTAGCGACTTTCAAATATATATTGACTTTTTGCCAGATCTTCATTATGTTATTGATGCGGTTTAATTTTATCGAGATAATAAATTCTAGAATAAGCATTTCTGTGTCTGCATCTGTATCAGTCATTTTTTAGGTTATTGACACAATCGATAATATCATCAAACTGAAATAATATAGATAGGTATTGTTTTATGATGTACTTAGTTTTAATGGCACTTACATTGAAATGTCGAAATTATGAATTTATGACGGATTTGGGTGAGACAGCGGGACTAAAAAAAAATCGGGGAGTCCCCATTTGTCTGTGAACGCTTTGTTCACAGACAAATGGGGACTCCCCGTTCTTTTTTTTTGAAAAAGCGAAAAGCGTAAACGAAGGGCTAACGCCGTCAATTTGACCATAAGGCCTAAGGTTCTTTTTCGAACGTAAAAAGGAATCAAATGAATTAGTGATCTGTGTTTTAACACAACTGGCCTTCGCAATTAATGGAGCCTCAAGAAGCCCCTCTAAGTGTTGTATTACTTGTTTTGTTCAACCGGTGTTAAACATATCTTTCGTTGATTTTCGCCGAGTGAGATTATGGGAGCCTAAACCCCCACTCTCCTTGAATCTCGGGGTAGGTGGGGGCAGGGGGTTTAGTTACAAAAGCGGCAACGCACTTGTGCCTCTTGAGTTGCATGCGCCTATGGGCAGCGGTAGTCACTTACCATCAATTAAGTCGTCTAAATTTTACTAACTTAATTGATGATTTAAAGCATAATCTTATTCGCGGCATGTAGTTTCAGTGTGATAGTTGCCCTGTGCATTACAGGAGAAGTATGGAGAAGAATGAAGACGTGGAGAAGAAAAGAATGGCTGGATTCTAATTATCGTAATAAGTGGATTGAAAGAGGTGGGTGGCATATTCCTCGTTAGTATAGGTCATCATCTTCAACAGTATCAGAAGCAAAAATCAAACTCCACTTAGCAATAGTTAGTCACGAATAGAAAACGAAACAGGCCAAAAATACAAGCCAAGTTTTCAACTAGATACCACCGGGTGCGCTTATTCTTAACACCCCCGGTCTTTCATCTACGTTTTTTTTATGAATTCTGAACTAATACGTACATGTTTTTTAAAAATTTGCAGTTTAACTCTAATGAAATATTTTTATATTTGTCAAAGAAGAAAAAAAATACAATTTTTTTTTTTCCTGTTATTAACCATCTACTTCGGCCCAGTTTGTCAAGTTAACTACAATTTAAATAATTGATATTATAAAACAATTTATTAACTACACAAAAATAGTAAAAACAGCATAAAATAAAAGATTAAAGTTCTAATAAAAATTGAATTAGGCAAAAATTTGGCGACTTTTATAAAAAATCTTAAAAGCCCAATATCTTGAGAATGGTTGTGTTTGGGATATGGTATTTCATAGTGAAATCTATTAGAAATGATGTCAATTACAACCTCTTAAAGTGTTTAGGTCGACTTACCCAGTAACCCTGTAATTTAAATAAGACTGATGTAATACTGTTAATTATTACAGATGACTTATTATTTACTTATTTATTTATTATTATTATACTTATTATGAGATAATTATACAGACAGAACTTTGAGACTTGTATGTCATATATGAGCGAGCGAATACACTTCTTTTTGTTTCAGTCGCAAAATACAAAAAAAAATAAAAGAGAAGTAGGTATGTGGATTTAATTTGCGAATATCCAAAGATAGACCTCCACTACACATAACGAGTTAGCGTTAGCAAAACTACTACCGTACGTATTAAAACAGCGTACTAGACGAAGGGAGAGGTCATCACGCATGCGCTAGGTATATGCTTTCATTGAAAGCCGTCACTAGAGAAACCCTATCGTGAAGAAGCTCAAATGATTAATTAACCCTTCCTTTCTTTATTCGAAAATAGTATCTAATATAATGACCAATTCTTTTATGAAAATACCATACATCATAAACATTTCTGGCTAATGACACTTTAAACATAGGTTGGTTGAAACCAATAATCTTCAAGACATACAAAACACCTGTGGCGTCGCACATCACTACGCGTATTGCACGTGACTATGCCTGTGGCTTAGTGAGAATGTCTGCAATCTGCTTGCTGCTCTCGACGTGTTGCAATATCACAGTGTTGCCAACGTGTTGCTGGATGTACTTTCGTGGTATTTCAATGTGTTTCTTTCCTCTGGTTGTCTTTCCTTCGTGTGCGTTCTGTAACATGTGAATAGCTGACATGTTATCGACTTTCAGAGTGATCGGCTGATCATTTTCCAAGATACCAAGTTCCAGTGCGATTCTCTTGATCCAGCATACATCGTCAATCACAGACACCGCGGCTCGGTACTCGGCTTCTGCAGTTAAAGTCGCTACCAAACGCTGCTTCTGTGAGTACCAGATCACTGGTCCTCCTCTCATCACCAACACTCCACTCGTCGACTGTCCTGTCCCTGAGTCTCCTCCAAAGTCTGAATCGGTATATGCCACGAGGTCTTTGCCTCCTCCGAAGTAGATTCCTGCTGTCGCTGTCCCTCTCAAGTACTGGAACACACGTTTCACCATCGCCTGATGGCTTTTCATGGGGTTGTTGCAGAATCGACTGAGAGAGAGTTCACGGCGAAGCTGATGTCTGGCCGAGTGATTGGAACTAAGTACAACAAACTCCTTATCGCCTCACGATAGTTGTTGTTTGCCGGAAGTGCCTCGTCATTTTTGAAGTCTGCCTTCTTGGTGATCATTCCTTGCTCAATGGGTGTTGATGCTGGGTTGCACTGTTCGAGTTTCATTTTTTCTCAAGATTTTCTCCGTGTATCGAGGCTGATTCACGAAGATACCATCCTTGTCGATCTTGATTTAAATGCTCAAGTACGTTAATTTGTTCTGTGCTTTCTTGCTGTATGTGATCTAAAATTCCTTGTTTATCTCTCCCAAGAGTCTGTATATTTCTTTTTCATCCTTACTAGCTATCAATCCATCAGCCACGAATAGTGAGAGCATAATGCTCATGTCCTTGTTATAGTAAATACATGGGTCGTCATCAGTGTTGATCAGGCCTATCTTTTCTTCAAAGTGTGTGGTGACCCTCTCGTTCCACATCCTTGGAGCTTGTTTGAGCCCGTAAAGACTCTTATCCAACTTGCAAACTTTTCCTGATCCATCGTCGAACCCTTCCGGCTGGTTCATATATATGACTTGCTCCAGGTTTCCATACAAGAATGCCGTCTTCACATCGAACGGTACTAACTTCGTGTTCTCTGACGCTGCATGACTCAAAAAAAAAAAACATTCAACATACAAATATTTACAAAAACTTATTGATGCTATGGTTCGCATTGTGGTTTTACTCGGAAGAGTAACAGCATAAATATATTAACATATTCACAGCTAATAACAAAAGAAAACAAAAATTCAAAAAAGAAAAATATCTAAATCTATGCGAAAGTGAAAAAGACAACAGATACTCCAATATTCCTTTGTTACTCTTGGGATAATGCCCTATGCAAGACGTCAGGTCTGTCTTGTATGTATCTTCATGTATAGGGTAAGACATATCAGCACCAGGGACTTCCTTTCTAGGGTATACCAGGTTCCCCGGCTACTAGTACCCGAGACGGCGTGCGGTTTTAGTCGGTTCGAGTCCGACATGCCACCGACAGGTGGTATCCGAGAAGATTTCCGCCGGAAAAAAAAAACAAAAAAACAAAAAAAAAAAAGGGTAAGACCTATCAATATCTACAGTGGGTGAGCGTGATAGGCGACTAAATTGAACCTGCAATCTGTTAATGGTGGAGAAATGACCCAGGTTGGTTCTAAAGCCCTTAGCGCAAAGCAACCGATATCTGACTAAGTAACCGCGGACAGTCAATGTAAGTATTTATTATTTTGAATAGGAACAGATGATCCAGGAACAACGGACCATTTTCCAGACTCATAATTTTGAAATGTTTGAAGCGAGAGCTGTGGTTAGGCAATTTTCTGACCATATTGCAGTGATATGACAACTGCCAAAGAAATCTTTTCTGCACTGATTCTATAGGACGTTTATGTATTTCGTAGAACGGAGTCCAAACTATGCTGCAATACTCTGTAATAAAAAAAAACAACAACTTAACTAAGTGGTATTTTAACAATATTTTCATCCAGTTTTCATAGTTATTGAAATTGTGCCACCTGTACTAGCTACTATTATTAATCTGTGCTATATCTTAGCAATTTACTTTTTGTACACATATCCGAACTATACAACTGTCAAAATCATACGGTCTGAAATCATATAACTACTTTATTTTCTGTAAAATTCTCTTGGTCCTTATTGCAGAGCAGTAAGGGTTATTTTCGTGTTTTATCAAAGTTGTTGAAGTTAGCAATTTGAAGTTCACGGATATTGATTGTTCTTGTAATATCATCTCATCAGTTCTCGTGAAGCTAATGATACCGGTGGTGTATAAATATCGCATTACTTATTAGCAGTGAAGTTTTACTATCGTCTTACTCTTTTCTTACTAGACATATCGTACTTAAAACAAATTATTATTAAACAGAGTTATATTCATAAACCGAAATCGTGTATCGGACCTCGTCCTATTCGCTAATAAGTCGTCTAAAAAAGGTCTATTGTATTCTTTTTACTAAAATGTCTGTTTGTAACAGTGGAGATGTGCATTTAGATGCGGCAGTTAACAACTGGTTGAAACAAGATAAGGTTTGTACATTTATATTTTACTTTTGATAAAAGAACTAACACCATTACTCACATTACCTGTTTACACCAAAAAAAAGACCGCACTTTAATTCGGGAAGGAGTAATTGGTCAATTAACCTGTAAATTTATTTTGTTAAGTAATAAATCTTTGTCAATCCTTAACTGCTTGAGCCAATTGTTATTTAAATAATATTTTTGAACCATATAAGTTTCCTGGTATTTTATTGTAAATATACTATGTTGAACTCTAGGTATATAGTGTCAAATAATTGGTCTGCATGAAACAATTAAACATGTTGTGTTTATTTGTTATTGTTATTGGATGTTATATTTTTTTTTATGAAGCACCTGATGATTATTAACAATTCTGGATACAAACAACTCTGAAACAATGAAACCAGAGTGTTATACGAACATACATCTCCTCTATGAAATAAAACTGCTCTGTGTACATAAAAACTTTTTTTCCACTTTGGCTCTACAATCAATGCCTGTGCCGGCAACTACTTATGTTCCAACAATCGACTTGAACTACCTCATTTATATTGGCAGTCATTTTTTTTTATTTTTATAAAATTAAAACTATATATTCAGTTTTGTGTGAAACATTTCATAAAATCTAACAAAGCTTTTTTTTTACAAGACATTGATAAGCAGTTCATATTCAGCATTTTTTATTTCAGTACTTTAATAACTTAACTGGAGAAAGATGTGGGATGTTAATTGCAACAGTTTTTATTGCAAGTTTTGATTAGGACCTATACGAGTCACTTAAAGGCCAATTCTCGTAAAGGGTTGGTTAAAATTCAGTTCCGATTAATTCTCAATCTCTTATTACTTTATTTTTTTTACTACGAAATTTTATTATTTTCCTACGAAAATACCTTTTATGATAGTTGTGAGATCAAGAGTTGATCGGAGCTGAATTTTGACCGAACTTTTATTAGAAGAATGGGCTTTCTGCAACTTAAGCACAAGTATGGTGTTAGTCTTTTAGTGAGTTCCTCCCAAAAGGGATGGGAGGGGGCTATATGAGCCATTAGCATTAGCCAGCTTCCACATTTAAGACATACTTATGTTTTAAATGTGTTATCTTACAAACAATGCCAAGATGAGTCATGAACAAATTCCATAGCTCCATGAACTAGGCTTTGCTTTTTTCTCATATATAAATTAAAATACATTATTGTGTTCTATTTCATCCAGTTTTCATTGACCATGGTCACAGGCTGATTGTATTAATAATTATAAATCATTGAACATAAAAGTATTGAGTACATTTATTTATTTAGTATAACCACAAAAATGTACTAAATTTACTGTAGTAATACAGTAAATTTATAAATATAAAAATATATATTCTAATACGTAAATTAGTTACGCATTTCAAAAACTAGTTTTACAGTAGTATTGAATCACTTTACATTAAGATGAATTAAAACAGTACATTTGGTTATTAGCAAACATAAAATTTTTTGGTTTCTTCATTGAATTGTGTTATTTTTATATCCGTTTTTTATTTATTATTTTTTATAATACAAATAATGATATAAGAAAACAAGACAGGAATATACTTTATGCAGATAGCAACATTAAAAATAACAAGCTGAGATTATTGAATATAACCTTGGGCAACAACATATAACTTGTTGCAATAACTATGGTACATAGTTACAAATGATACCTTTAAATATACATACAACAGATTTTTTTGTTATGCAAATGAACTAACATGTAGATTTTTCATTTATAAAAATGGAAAACCAAATATGTTGGTTCTTCCCTCTATAGGAACACTGCATAGGCAAAACATTCCTTCCCTTTTAACGGCTCCTAATCTTAATCGGCGTCATCATAATGTATCTCTTGTCCTCCAGTTGTAACCCCGCTCAAGGTCCCTCCTTAAGCGGGGTTAGGAAGGTAATAATAATAATAATCTCATACAGCCTTCTGATCCTAAACTACTAATTAATATATTACTTTATATTAATATAGGGTATATGTAAAAATATATTTGTAAATAGATATATTACTAATTAATAATATATTTCTAAAATTATTTATCCATGGTGGGAATCGAACCCATGACGTTCGTCTTAGTAGTCAGGGTATAAATATAAGTCAGGGTAGCTAGACCATATGTCGGGGCACCAGGGACTACTTTTCTAGGGTATACCTGGTTCCCCGGCTATTAGTACCCGAGACGGCGTTCGGTTTTAGTCGGTTCGAGTCCGACATGCCACCGATAGGTGGTATCCGAGAGGATTTCCGCAAGGAAAAAAAAAAGGGTAGCTAGTTATTTAATAAACATTGTGTTAATGAGTGTATTCATACACACATTAACACGGAAACTTCGTTGATTGCCGTTTGCAATGCTTTGGAAATCAAAAGAAGATTATTTTACCCGTATTTCTTTTCCATACATCTATCGTCAGACTTTGCGATATTGCATTTGATCAGTCATCGTTGTGGTCGTCAGACCTGGTCGGACGACTTCCGTTGTTGGTCGACGTGGACGACGACGTTAGTTGGTCATCACAGTCGCCAGAACAGAAGAATGAAGACTGCGATGACCAATTGCCTGTCACGGGAAATCTTTTGATCGGAAGTTGGTATTTGGTCTGACGCTTCGAATCCTTGCTTAAACTACGAGCCAATTTACTAGGAAATATACACGTTAAGACCCAACAAAAACATTTCATTGACTCTTTTTTGTTTAGAATCCAAAAACACGCAAAGAAGTTCAAGAGGACATTAAAAACTCAAGATGGGACAAGTTGAGGGGTTCTATGCTGCAACGTCTGAAGTTCGGCACAGCGGGCCTACGAGGACCTATGACGGCTGGTTACAAAGCTATGAATGACGTCGTGGTGCTACAAACTGCGCAGGTAAGCTTTAACCTGTAATATTGTAGACCAGCAAATGGATCTATTATACATTAGTCACTTTTTGGATCGATCAGCTTGAATGAAAATGTTCCCGTAAATCATTCGCGCATTTCTTAAGATCTTGTATCGTGAGCAAAAGAATTACAGAAACTTGGTTTCGTCTTTGGTTGTTGTAATTAAGAAATATAAAAAAATAGGTATTTAAGAGCCTAGTAGGTAGTATAGTTACCAATTATATCACTTTAAACGAGTAAATCTGACTTGTGTCGCGTATATACATTTTTCGGGAGTGGACGTGGTTTGTCCTGCCTAGAATGATTACTACTTTGTCTAAAAATGTTTCAGTATACCTTCATATACTGATCTACTACCAATACTAGTCTTTATAATCGCTGCTGTGTAACTCAGAAATAAATATCCCAAATTTCCAGCGCATAGCGTTTAATAGGCATATGCTATGACATAATCACGTAAGCGTTTAATCAGCCATGTTCCCCTATAGTTAGAGGCCTAACTGTCTCCTAATGTTAAATAACAAATATTTATTAATGTTAGAAGACTTCCTACCTTAAGCTGTGTATAAATATTAACGCTCGATTTTTAAAGTACCTAATCCAAGAACTCGAAAAATATTTAATATGAAAAAAGAAAATGAAAAAGTTTCGAGCCAAGTAGATTGCAAATCTCGAATAACATGCTGTTACATACATTCAACGAGATGAAGAGAACTGCGAACCGCCCAGACAGATCGATTCTGCGGGTATCAAGGGCCCACCCCCGATGTAAGCGCCCCACATATTGTATCAGGGTTAGTCGCAACTGAAGGGCGGACTCGGACAGACAGACAGTTCGCGTTGTTTAAATTTGCTGTTTGCACTTGTAGGTAAGTTCATGTAAATCAATAGTTATTCCAGCGTATTTGAACTTGCGATGGTTACATAAATTACTATATTGATATGGCGTTAATTGCCTCTGTGTTTAGACATGTACAGCTTAATTTTTATACTGATTTATTATACATAGAAATTCCGTCTATTTGCTTCAATCTCTCTTCAAAAAACTCAGAGTAGAAAATGGACTGACAAATCGAATAGAAAAAGATTAAGAACAGTTTTGGCATTATTTTTGTAATAATTATATTCAGAAGAGAAGAATATTCTTTGTACCTTTTTTAAACATATATATTATATTTTGTGTGTTAGTATTTAGATTTTGGATTTAAAAAAACTACTGAGTACAGCTGTAACCTCAGTGCACCTACCTTACTACTCGTAGATTTCTACACCACCCAAAGGTTAGATGGTAGAGAATGCCCTGGGCATTAAGTCCGCCGATGTCCATAAGTGCATAAAGGTATAAATAAAATAAAAAATAAAATATCATAACACAGTAATATCATCACAAATATAAATCATAGTACACTAAATCAGTAAAATAACCGATTAAGTTATAATAATCGATAAAATGGAACAAATCTAATCCATATTTTTGTTTTTGCCGCCTTTGCGATTTATTTGCCATCCATTTTTAAGACTTTTAACCATTAGATAATTTGGGGTCAGTTCGTATACACCCAGCGATCCGATCAGCTGAATGAGCCATAGCCTACAGAAACTCTTTGTGTAAAATTTTGCACTTCATATAATTTTTTTCAATGTTTCGTTCAAATAATACAATATATACGCTCACCATAAAATATTTTATACATATTTTTGTTAAACGACTGCGGTTATATTCTGCTATGGATTACGAGATTAACAATGGAACCAACATAAGGTATGTTCAATCTTAATTTATTACGGTTACAAGTAAGTGTGCACCGTATCTATTTTGTAATTTGATTACTAATATATTTCAGGATTTAAATATATAGTCATAGTTGACTACAACGAATGCTCTAAAACGGAACACGAGGGTGACAAGATACCACCGATTACGTGTCTATACACGTAATCGTCGTATAATGGGATTTTCCACCGAGGCCCAGTCAACAAAAAAAGGTATACCTATCCTTTTTTTGTTGACTGGGACTCGGTGGAAAATCTCTTCGGATCCCCGGCTACTCTGAGACGCAAGAGCCAGGAGTATGTGGCGTTTCCACTAAAAGCCACCCTGACGGCCGGTGTCAGGTCCTACTCCGGTGAGAAAGCCCCGCCTAGCCAGGCACAATCCCAGGATAAGCCGCAGAAGGTGTATATACCTAATAATAATAGAGAGAAATACAACTTATTTATTTCTTTAATGAAGGTTCAGCAACCAGCTTGTTGGTGACAGATAGGAAAATATATGTATTTGTATCCTAAATCTAACTGTACAACCAATTATTGGCAAACGTCACATACAAAATGTTTATTTTAAATCAACAGCTATTATATAATTTTAAAGACTTATTTTTATACAACTTAAACTTTGGATAATATATTAAATGCTAATCCTATCACACGTTTGACGTGTCTGACCAACGAGTGTTCGTTGCGATTGGTGAGGAGCCGATGAAAATTTAATAGAGGGATTAATAAGTATTTTATTTGACTAACTGTATAATTTTCTCATAATATTATATGTATTTATGAAAAAAAAATACGAAGATACATGTAGTGAAGATTGTGATATCTATTAATTGCCAAAAAAGAGACTGAATATAATGTTATATGTGATTTAAATGTTTTCGAAAAACTTGTTACTGTATTTTAACCTGCTTAACCTGTTTATAAAAGTAGGTATAAGAACTCGGGCATAAAATATGTTTTGTTTTTTTTAAATAAAAGGGCTTGGCGTAACAGTTTATAATTATCTATTTTTTTCAGGATATTGCATTTTAGTCTACTTAGTGGGATAACCATAAAACAAAATCGACGAGTGGCGTGTAGATGGTTTCAAGTGACGGAACTAATCGACTGTTCCAAAACAGTGCAAACATTCCGTCCACCAGCGTTCCACGATGTTGCAGATGTTTTCGGAAGGGTGTCGAGTCAGTCGGGTTATTACGAGATTTTCCTGGGCAAGCCCGATCGATATAAAACTGCCTCGATGCGGTGTAGACTCATTCTAGACAGATCCATCTAATTACAAAACCCTTCCGTGAGGTCGTGGTACCACTCCAGTCGAGCTCCCACCTCGTTTTCTGGAATATTTTTCCACAGCTTTTATATGTCAGCTTTCTGACTGTCCCTTCCCGAGAGTGCCAAAACAAGATTCCTTCGTAATAGTATAGAACAATATTCTGATTAAAATATTTGTCGACAGGGTATATGCTCATACATTAAGAAGGTCTGCAGCCAGAGTCAACTGCACAATGGAGTGGTTATCGGCTTTGATGGCAGATATAACAGCAAAAGGTAAGTTTACAAACGTTTTCCATTCTTTAAATTATCACCACTTTGACTTCACATTGCTCGAGCCTCAATAAAACATTGTGAGATTGCTATTTTGAGCAATTTTCAATTAATAAATTAGGTATGCAGGGAATTTAGAAGAAAGGTTTATCAGGTTTGTGACTAAAATAGGATCAACGATGAAACAAACATTAAGTTACAACACATCACTTCCACTGATAACGAACCGAATCAATAAGTGGTGTAAACAAATGAAAAGCGCGTGCGGCAATTGCCGTATTCGTGTGAGCGAGTAACAGTGAATTTATAACGTGTTTTGGGCAATCCCTGAATACGTGTATCGCTTTCGATTTACAAGATGGTAATCCTACCATTAACTACTATTAATCATCTTCAACAACTTATAACAGTCCACTTCTTAACATATGCCGCTCCTTAGTAAGGAGGTTTTGGCCTACTAAATAGGCTGGCCAGACTGGTTGATTTAGGGTTTGTTTCTAGCTTTCATTCCCTTTGCAGCGATGTTAATTTTTTTAAACTTAATGTACATGTTGTATTACAAAGGCGGACTTAACGCCATGAGGCATTCTCTCCCAGTCAACCTTCAGGTGTTGTAGAAATATAGTAGGTGCAAAGATAAAATATCAAATTTGTCGTAGTTCATACTGTGGTAAATAAGAGATGATGTTGTCCTGCGTAGTTTGTTCTCTTAGTCGGCTCTTACGACACCCGTGGGATGAATAGGGGTGACGACACTCCTTATTTTAAATCCGTCACCACACGAATAGTCGATCTTCGAAATCCTACCAAATGTGTCTAAATCAAAATCGACTATGTCTTGCAGATACTAAAAATACTATAATAAATAAATAATACTAAAAATACATAAATAAATAGTAAAATATCGCTTTAATGTACACTAGGTATAAATATACAATAATTAACTTAAATAAGGTTAGACAAGTACTAATATTGTATAAATAATATCAAAAATAAGCAATTCAAAGACCGCCCGTCGTCCTTTAGTGTTTACTTAATACTTGATTTGCTCCAGAGACACAAGTGCATTGACGTTCTTTGAGCCTCCCCCACCCCCTTCAGAATTGAGAAGGGGAATGGGGGATTAGACCTCCGGTGACCTCACTGGGTGAAAAGTAACGAAAGAATTACTTAAAACCGGTTTTCCCTGATGCCATGGTATGACTCTGATCAAGCCGATATGTGCAGAATCATACCAAAGCACTTTCCCAAGAGGTGACAGATTAGTATTAGCCGATAAAAATATCTATATCTTGGGAAAATTGTAAAGCTGCTAAAAATATGCGAATATTCATCAACGGCAATATTATCTCATATGTTTTACACAGATTATATCGATTGAAGTATGATTATGCCATTTACACAAAATTGCGTCACATTAGATACTAGTTTGCAAATCGTAATCAGTAATTGTTATCATGATGTCGAAGACCACGCTTATGACCCTTTGATACAAATATTTGTGTTACTACCGTAAAACGTAACATGGCTAAGTAGACGATGACTTAGATTAATATTGAGATACCGACGTGTATCGTTAAGAAAATGACTTTTATCAAAAGAAGAATATTAATGACGATAGATCTAAACTATGTGAAAAATATGAAGGTTATTTAACCTGTATTACCAATGAAGTACCCTAGAATATTCTTGAATTAAATAATACGGAGTGTGGCTCACACTCATAGAGAATCCATAGCCTGAAGCCGTTTCTGCACTTTACCAACTGTTTATTAAATGTAGAGCCATAGAAGTCAGTTATTTTAAAGAGTTTGCCTTGTATTCTTTGACTTGCCACTTTGCTGCTATAAACACTGTGATCAGATATTTTTTTGGTATGTCTCGATGCCCGCCATGACAACGATGACATAATACTGTTCTCGATTAGTCATAAAAACAGGCAGCGCCTAATATGATCTATTTAGAACAATCTGTCCTTATTCATCCACAACTAATTTTCTACATATTTCCATTATCAATTGAGTTCCGTCGGATTGAACAATTGAGTCTGTCTTCCATTCAATTGCTTTATAAATGTGTTGTTTAGGTATGGCGAAGTCAGCTAGTTGGTCTAGGTTGCTTTAATGTGTCCAGCCGGTCATCGTATAATGGGCAGTGCGGCAGCACGGGACCCTTTTCTTCCGACAGACGCAGGTCCTTTCCGGGCACTGCTGCTTCGGGCAGTACATCGACTCGTTCGCTAGGAGGGAATTGAGTCCCACCTGTCACCACTGAATTTGCAGTCAGGACTCGGCTCAGCACACTCTGGCAATTTGAGCTGCTTGGGCGTTGCAGTGTTGGGTCCTCACTGCAGTCATTGGAGGAGATATATCGCTATCGGCCGTCATACCGCGTCATAGTTTTTTTACCGAGGCCGCATACTTCTACGAAGACGTCATCTCGCATAAGGAGGCGGCGGAGAGGGCCCGGGAGGATGATTTCTACTCGAACCCAATTCGCCACCAACGAACCAGCCGGCGCAGGCGCTTTCCAGTGCCTCATGCCGCCCTGAGTGTGGCCGTGAGTGGACAGGAGGGGTTTTTCCCTTCCACCCGCCATAACGGCAAGCCGCGACGCCTATAATAGTCCACTGCTGAACAAAGGCCTCGCCCTAAAACGGAGGTTTTGGCCTACTATACCACGCTCGCCAGACGGGTTAGCATAGGGTATGTTTCAAATTTTCTTTCTCTTTACAGTGCTGTTGTCCTGCGTAGTTTGCTCCCTTAGTCGGCTCTCACGACACCCATGGGATAAATGTCATCGGAATTGAATCACCACTCCGGTGACACTCGGTATTCTTAATACGTCGCCACACGGACTTACTATTAGGTCTAGAAAATTAAATTATAAGAAGTCTATGTTTCACACTTCACAAGAGACAAAACTCAGATCTTAAGAATTCATTTTATAAATTCAAAATGCTCCGGAATACAAAAACGTTGGAAACCGAGTATAAATGATAATCCGAATGATAACGTCGCCGAATGATTAATAATGTAGCAACAGTGTGCCAACATTTTCTTGAATATTTTAATGTGTACCTAAGAGACATTAAAATTGAATGAATAGCCGTATCTTGTTAATTAAGCAGCTTGGCTAAATACGCGATACCAGCGACCTTGGGCGAGATATCTTGGCTCTCTTGAATAATATAAATAGACAAAGTTGTTAACTTTTTTTAAATAAAAAAAGACATTGTTGATGGTTCTGTTTATGGTATAAGGGATTAACGAGTTGACGGCTGGTCTGGTGGTAAGTGACTATCACCGCCCATGGAAACTTGCAAGTCAATGAGACACAAATAAGTAAACTCTTCCAGTATTAATTAGAACGAAGGGGGAAGGCAATGAGTTGAGCATTCGCAACGATAGAGAACATTGCTTAAACACCGGTTTTCCGATCCCCCTATTACTAGCTACTAGCTTTTTACATTTTTTTTTGTTTTCACGTTTTTTAAACTGTGTCCAATATTATGTCGTATGTCTCGAATGAACGTAATTAACTCGGATACTAGTGTAGGAAGTTGTGAAATGCCTTCATGTGTATAAGAACCATCTTACGTCCTCCTCGTCAACAGACGATAAATAAGTAATCGTATGGAGACTACTGTGTAAACTTATACATTTCATGTTGTCTCTTTGAGTCTCTTCTGGGTTTGCTGACACTTACAGTTTGACGATACAGCTGATGAAACATATTTTTTCGGCATCCTATGACTCGAATAGGTGTCACAGCTCGTTATATACATATATTTCAATTTCAATTTATTGCATTCCATAATGTACATTCAGGTGGTAGGCTTAAAAGTAGATAACAATTATGGACCCTGTCGGGCACAGCACTATCAGGAGAGAGGAGGAGCTGCCTAATTATGCTAGTTTGAAGAGCTTGATTTCAATACCAACATTTTCTGCTTTAAACGAGATAAACTATGTAATTAAACCAAATAGTATATTTAACTTGCATGTTCATAAAAGGATGTAGTTGTTGATAATTTAATAAATTTATTAATGAACAATGTCAGTACAAAATTATTTTACCATTCATTGTATATCAATTTATTGCATAGTCATTCATTATATATTAATATTTATTAAATGTAAATTTATTAGGTTTTATGTCTATACTGGCATGTGTTTATAATGATTAATTTTAGTTATTTAAAGTTTATAATTTATCTTCTAAGTATTCCTTGACACTGTAGTAGCATTTATTTATCAGGAGTTTTTTTAATTTGTTAACAAAAGTATTGTATTTATTTGCGTTTTTGATTTCGTTTGGTAGCCTATTATATACTTTTACTGACATGACCAATGGTCCAGAGGAGTGAATTGCTAATCTTGAAGTAGGAAGATTTAATCTACTTTTGTGTCTTAGGGTCATTTTGGATTGGATATATATATATGCTACGTTACATTGGATATGACCCAGGTTCTGTTCTAGGGTGCTCCTGTACATTCTAAGCCAGCGTGTGTATTACTGGGAAAATATATAAGTTAAAATTTTCTTTAAAAGCTGTCTCCGTACATTCTAGACCAACTTGTGCCTTTTTTTTTTTTTTTTTTTTTAACGTGTGGAAATCCCCTCGGACCGTCACCCCTCCGGGGTTTGCGGCGGGGTGGTGTGTCGGACTCGGACCGACTAAAACCACACGGTGTGCCACTCTGCGCCTGTAACAGGAGGGATCCGGGAACAGCTGTTGTTAAGACATCCGGACCCCTCCTAGCGCCAGCCCGCTCCTGATGCGGGCTCCGTCTCGATATTTTTCCTCTCTTTAGGCGACGTCCGGCACACGCGGACGCCGCCCCCTCGCGGCTGGCCAACTAATGCGGGTGGAGGGGAAACCCACCCCGTCCACCCGCGGCCACACTCAGGGCGGCATGAGGCTGTGGTAGGCGGGCCTCCGCCGCCCGGTTCGCCGGCGGCGGATCGGGTCCGAGTGGAGGTCGTCCTCCCGGGCCCTC